GAAAACTCCAACATCTGGATCTCCAGAGGGCTTGTTTCTATTGTCTGTTTTATTGCTCTTGTCTATTTTATTGTTTTTGTTCATAGCTCCTGAAATGCCAGATAATTTTTTCTTGGATGTCCAACACTGTGTATAAAAAAATTATAGAGTTAGCATGAGGCTCTGAGTAATATTATCTTTCTCCAGAGGGGATTTGCTTTTGCTTCTGACAGGCACCTAAAGAAGGACAGGCCACTGATTGGAAACTTTGTTTCAGTCTTTCTGAGTCTAGTCTATATCTGGTTAGCCTTTTTTTCCTACAGTGTTGCCCTTTGGTCTTCCCAATAAAAGTTGGAGGTGTTTAACAGGACCCTTCCCCTTTTTAGGCCCCAAATTCCAGTTTTGACTCCCCAGTCTCATGACCATGCCTCCTACAAGCTGGAAAATGCCTTTAGGGAAAAATTGAAACCAATATTACTTCTCTCCACAATCTTGGGCCTGTCAAGTCCTCACTGCCTTGGTAGCTCTCCCATGCCTTTAAACAGATTTCTTAAATGCTTACTAGCTTTTAAAGTTATCCTCAACAGGTAAATTGGTCTGATAGAAACTAGTCTACTTTAGCCAGAAACAGAAGTCTAGATGATAATCTGAAGTTAGCACTTTTAGATCTATAACTAAGTTATGCTATGCTAAGCACTTGTAATAATATTTAATTTAATTTTTACAACATAAGATTAAGTATTACTATTACATCTCTATTTTACAGAGGAGGAAATTGAGACACAGAAAGATTAAGTAAACTCACCCCACACCACTCAATGGCAGTGGTAGTGCCAGGATTTGAAATCTGGTGCACTGATGCCGAAGCCTGAGCTGTCAACCCAGCACAGTGCTAGACTTGCTAAATGTTTGTTGAATGACTGAAGCACAGGCTCTTCTGAGGCCATGTAGATAAGCTCCTATAATTAGAACTTACACACTCAAATGTCAGCAGAGGAAGACAGGTTTTCTCTGGTTCAAAGAAGGTAAAACTCACTTTGCTTCTCCCTTGGTTTGGCAAACTAGGTTCAACAGAAAATAATTCCAGCCCAGGGGCTGAGCTTCTAAATGATTCTTATCTGCTCCTGGGAGGCAGAGCCACTGTAAGACAAAAAGATCTCCACCCTAGGCACAAAAAGGACTAAGAACAAGGGGGTGTCGGGCTTATTCCTGAGGTGGCCTCCACCCTGGTTAATTGGGATCTAGGGGTGTGCAGGGGTGAGGTGTTGAGTCTGCTCAGCCGTTGTAATTCAGTTTGGGCCACCATTTCATCTGGTGGACTGTGGGCTCCAGCTGCTGTTGCAGTGTTGGTCCTGCTTCGTTGTGGGTGTTCTGGATAGCTCTGTTGTGGGGTGTCCTTGGCACTGTTCACTAAATCTTTCTGGTTTTCACTCTATTGAGCACATGTTAAGATTGCACTTTCTGGCTGATTTGTGATTAGGTGGCACTGTGTGACATTCTGGACACATGCCAATTCCAGGCTGGCCTATTGGATTACGGAAGGAGGACTCTCTGAGTTGATGCTATTATGGAAGGAGGACTCTCTGAGTTGACGCTATTGCTCTCCCTAGCCCTCCAAACCCCTTCTATTTCATTCCAAGCCCAGCCTTCAACCCCAGTGCCTGAGCAGGAGGGAAGGACATTCCTCTGACTCCTGAGTTGCTAAGACTGGAAGACCTTGACTTATTTAATGAGTACTCCAAGCTGCTGAGCCCATGGAGATCACCTAGTTCTACCCCTAAATCTATAGATGTGGGAAACTGAGGCTTGGGGTAAAAGAGGTCTGTGGCCAAGCCAGACCAGGCCCCTTTCCCACCCAGCCAGGGCTCTGAACACTGTCATTCAGCTGCCCATGACCCTAGCCAAGCAATTCACCCTCCCAGCTGCCCTGCCTTTGGCTGGGGAGGCCTCACGGTCTCTAAGTGGGACTTTGGGGCAGGGGCGGACACTGGTTAGGCAGCCTGGGAGAGCTGGGGTCCTTCTCTGAGCCTTAGCTGTCTAAATGTGAAGGAAGGGGTATAATGAGGTTATTGTCCCCAAACTGAGGTCCCTCAGCAATCAATCTGTTGCCCCACCCTCAATTACTTGAGGTTTATAAAGGTGGAAATGAGAAACTGCTTAGAAATTACTGTCAGTGTATAAAAGGTCTCATAAAATGGCACATTGATCTGTATATGGCTGTACCTGCTCAGTGTATCAGATTCTTTGCTTTAGGCTGGGATTCTGCTATTTCCCTGGGAAGACAGGGTTTCTGGTTGAGGGGGAGGGGCACTCATATTGAGCAGCAACTCTGTGCTAAGCACTTTCCTTCCATTAGCACATTTAATCTTCACTGCAACCTGTGAGCAGTTGCAGTCCTGCCCCCAGTTGACAGGGAGGCCAGTGAGGCTCAAGGAGGCGAAGGGGACTTACTCCAGTTTACTCAGCGGGAATAGGGAAAGCTGGGATTCAAACCCCATTCTGTCAGATTGAAAAGCTTATGTTTCTGCCTTATTAGAATTGCTGTTTGCAGAAAGGTAGGGAGATGTTTGCTTATTTAAAACAATTTGGGCTCAAGGTGGGTGGTCCTCAGTAGGTGGGGGCAAGAGCTCCTGGAGAGGGAGACTCTGCTCGAGGTCCCTTCAGGTCAGCAGGTCAGCCTGCGTCCCCCTCTACCCCCAGCCCATGGTTCTGGGAAGTTCGTGTTGTACAAGAGCAGTTACTTGACTAGAGGTAGCTGCCAGGCCTCCTGGCTCCACATTCCTGGCCCAAAGGCCCAAGAGCCTCTGGGCTTGGGGGCTTCAGTCCAGACATCAGCCACTGGCCCCAGCCCCCTGTCCTCCATGGGAGGCTGAGCCCCTCACTTGCTCAGTTTGAACTCTTTACCACTCACTATGGACTCCTCTATTCCTTTTAGTCTTAGCTCTTCTGTTCCCCCTCAGTCCCTGGAAATCTGGGCCAGCTCTCTCCCCAGCACCCCCCATCCTCAGAAACCTCCCATATCACTATTACGCATTGCTGGCTGGGCTTATTCACTTCCTTGGGAGCTCTCAGCTTCTGCCAACTGAATTCTACCCAGAGCCCAAAGAGCTACTAGCACCCTCACCCTAGTCAATCCACGGGCCTGTCCCCACCATAGACCCATAGACAAATCCAAGTACATGCATACTCACACATGTGTGTACACACACACACCCACACACACACACACAGAGTCTCCAAGCTGGAAACAAGATTTGAGGTGGCGTGGCTTTCCAGCTCCTGTGTCTGATTCCTGGCATCCATCATCTTCCTCCCTGAGCCCATATGCATACACAAACACACACTCACACACACACACATTACAGACACATACTCAGTGACTGGACATAAGAAATACACAGATGTATTACACACAGAGAGTTGCAGACACAGACCAACATGTGACACATTGTCTGCCTATCTTGTGGAGATGAGCTGCTGCCCGGAATGAGGAGCTCTGGAGACTTCTCCTTGCCTGGAAGTGTGGTGGTGGAGGGAAGGTGCTTGGGAGCAGGAGCCCCCGGGAGAGGTGATGGGTGGATAGGAGTTCCATTCTGGCTGCTGTGATGGTGCCTCCCCATTCACTATGGGTCTCCATGCTTGCAACAGGCAAGCACTCACCATTCCCCTCATTGGGGCCCAGCTCTGCCATTGGTAAAGTGCGAGGTTGATCTAGATGGTCTTTGCAGGCCCTGGAAGCTCTGGCTTCCAGCACAGCTGAGGGGCCCCAATGACACAAGACTTTGAAGGCTTCTTTGAGCAACCACAGGTCTGTGTTGGTTAGACCAAGCCTTTCTAACAATCCAGGCAAAGATGCTCCCTTCCAGTCCTTTCTGATGCCCTTGGACTTCCCCACCAGACTCCTCAGGCCACAGTCCCCAGCAGGGGTTATGTATGTGGCCAGACTGGGATCTCTAACCTCCATCTGGGCCTCTGCCTCTACCCTAAGCAACTCAGCTGCCAGGAGCCAGCCAGAGGAGTGGAGAGAGGGGACTCCAGACTGGCAGGAGTGGAACTGCCCTTCCTGTCTGTAGCCTTCCTTCCAAGCCTCTGAAACTAGCTCCACTTTCCTCTCCAGCCTGAGGGACTTCAGCATCTTTTGCCCAACCACCCAGCCCCTCTGCCCTCTTAGTTTCTTGACTCCTCATTTTCAATCCTCAATTCCTTTATTCCAGCTCAGCTACACTTCCCCATACCCCATCCCCTTCAAGACCTTATCACCCTTGTCATCACCCTGTACCATCCACCTCTGAGAAACCCAGACACCCTACTCTTGACTGTAACCCCACTGCTGCCTCCATACAAACACGTATAGCACAAACACTGTTCTAAGCCCTTTACGTATATTAATTCATTTAAGTGCCATGACAACAACTTAGGTAGCACTACTGCCGTCCCTAATTTGTGGATGGGGAAACAGAGGCCTGAGACATTAGAAGAATTGCCCAGGGTCACAGACATCATGATAATACATGGCAGAGCTGCGATTGAAACCTAGGCTGTGTGGCTCCTAAATCTGTGCCCTTCTTAACTCCACACTACCTCTGGCTGTAACTAGTCTCTGATGTCATGTAATCCCTGGAACTCCACATTTTTCTCCACAGTCCTCTTGCTTCCCCTGCTCTCTGCATCTATCCAAGAACCCACACTGACTTAGTTCCGTTACTCTCTTGCAACTTAACTTGTCCCTTTGTTCTGCCAAAGCTGCCAGCAAAGCCTCAATTGCAACAGTCTGGCTTTCTGCCACCTCAAGTCTATGCCTGAACTGGTAAGCCTTGTAGGTGAAAAAACCACAGCTGGGCGGCATGGGCCCTTTGTACCTCCACATCCCAGAACGCATCACTCTGGTCCTTAAGGATCCCGGCAAACCTCCCACTTCCTAGTCTAAGCTCACCAACCCGCACCTCACACTGGATGCACCTAAGTAAGCCTTCTCCCTCTTGAAACAAAGCCCTCCTTCGGCAGGTCTCTGCTGGGCCGTGGACGCGTGTCTCTGTTCCACAGGATGGGGTTTGTTAAAGTTCTTAAGAATAAGGCCTACTTTAAGAGATACCAAGTGAAATTTAGAAGATGACGAGAGGGTAAAACTGATTACTATGCTCGGAAACACCTGGTGATACAGGATAAGAATAAAAACAACACACCCAAATACAGGATGATAGTTCGTGTAACAAACAGAGATATCATTTGTCAGATTGCTTATGCCCGTATAGAGGGGGATATGATAGTCTGCGCAGCATACACACACGAACTGCCAAAATATGGCATGAAGGTTGGCCTGACAAATTATGCTGCAGCATATTGTACTGGCCTGCTGCTGGCCCGCAGGCTTCTCAATAGGTTTGGCATGGACAAGATCTATGAAGGCCAAGTGGAGGTGACTGGTGATGAATACAATGTGGAAAGCATTGATGATCAGCCAGGTGCCTTTACCTGCTATTTGGATGCAGGCCTTGCCAGAACTACCACTGGCAATAAAGTTTTTGGTGCCCTGAAGGGAGCTGTGGATGGAGGCTTGTCTGTCCCTCATAGTACCAAGCGATTCCCTGGTTATGATTCTGAAAGCAAGGATTTAATGCAGAAGTACACCGGAAGCACATCATGGGCCAGAATGTTGCAGATTACATGTGCTACTTAATGGAAGAAGATGAAGA